ATAGAAAAAAACCCATCTCTACAAAAAATAAAATAAAGTAATAAAAGGAATTACCATAACAAAAATGTAACTTCTGAAAATGCATATACACAAAAGTATACAAATCATATCATGAAATAAAAAATATGGAAGCAATTAAAGACAGAACTAAGGATAAATATATCAATAAATTGTTTTATACATATAGCTTTATGACTATGTTAAAAGGGCAAGGCAAAATTTTATTTACTCCAACATTCAAAAGATAATCTAGGCTTGAAATCAAACAAAAATCAGGATGATACAGATAGTTAGCTCTGGAAAGTAATCCTAAGGATCAGGAGTAAAGACGGGAAGGGTGAAATGTAAAACCAATTCAAGGGTATGCTATGGAGCTGACTACCAATATGGGCAACTCAGCATGATTCTTATAGGGACTTATATGCTGCCATGTGAATATGCCTTAGAATTGTCCATCCAGGAGATGGAAAGGAGAATATTAATCCATTGTTCTCCTGTCTTGTATTAGTCATGAATTTTTGTCCATGATAGTGTCTGAGCAGGTATATATAGTTACATAGATCATGATACAGACAAGTGAAGTGATGTTAGGTTACACTTACACAGAGCCAGTTTCTGCAAGATCTGGATTTAAAAAGTGGGCCAAGAGAATGTGAGGCAGGACACAAGCTGTGTCTGATACACATACATAAAAGATGTAGCTCAGAGAGGTTGAAAATAAAACTGCTTGGCAAAGACTCATCGGGTAAATGCACATGGAGAAACTCAAAGAAAGTTCGATTTAGGACAAATGTATTAAAAGAGTACAATCTACAGTGAACAACAAAAAATTACAAATGCCTTTGCACCAAATAATACACAGACATTTTCATGAAGTAAAAGGTACAGAAAACACAGAAAGCGACAGGAAACAAAATAAAAATAAAATAAAATTCTTGAGTCCAAGAAGAAATCAAAGAAAAATAGGTACAATATTTAGAACCTAAAAAATAAAAACAGAAAACAAAAAGAATAACTATAAACAAGTTACCCTTTGAAAAGTAACTGCCCCAGTGTTTGTTTTCAAGAAATTCTACCAAACTTTTAAGAAGTGATAATTCTGATACTATTTCAACTGCTCCAGAAAATAAATGTTAAAAAGAAAGCACCCAAATCAGTTTTATAAAGTATGACAATGGTACCAAACCCTGATAAAGGAAGCACCCACAAAAGAGGAAACTATAAACCAGTCTCATTTACAAATACTGATGCAAATATCACAAAAAAAATATAACAGATTAAAATTATAAACCATGATAATATGTTTTATTCAAGGAATGCAAGAATAGTTGGATACTAGTAAATCTATTCACACATAATTCACTATACTAACAGTTATGAATAAAAAATTGTCTTTTAAACAACTATGAAGTTTTTGTACATTACAAAATGTAACAACTATTCTTTATAAGAATGTTTTTCAACAAAAATATGTGAAAATATCTTTGTTAAATATATTTAATAAAAAAATGCAAGAAAATTTATCATTAAAGTCCAAGAGCAAGACAAGATATGTTTTTCCTCTTAATATTTAATATTATACTCAAAAAAACAGCCCCCCTAAAATGAGATATAAAAACAGGAAAAATAAAGGTAAACTTTACCATTATTTGAGGATACCATTAACTGGAAATTCCAGAAGAATCAAGTGAAAGCTCTTTCAAATGGTAAGAATTCACCAAGTTTAGGTAAAAAATATATAGACAAAAATCAAAAGCTTCCATACATAAAAACAGCAACCAGTTAGCTCACATATGGAAGAAAGATCAATAGCACTTAAAAAGATAAAATAACTTAAGAAAAATGAAATTAACAAGAAATGCCTATAATCTGTAGGAAGAAATTTTTTGAATGATACTAAGGGACTTCAAAAAGACAAATACATAGAACCATATTCTTGCATACAAATATTACATATCATGAGGATGTCAATTTTTCCAATATTGATCTATACTTAATGAAATCTTCCCTCCCCAGAATACCAACAGTTTATTTTAACAAAACAGGCTGATTCTGATGTTCATGTAAAAACACTGTGTTAGTCTCTTCTCATCCTGCTAATAAAGACATAACTGAGACTGGGGAATTTATAAAGAAAATGAGGTTTAATGGACTCACAGTTCCATGTGGCTGGGGAGGCCTCACAACCATGTTGGAAAGTGAAAGGCATGTCATACATGGTGGCAAGCAAGGAAGGAATGAAAGCCCCATGAAAGGCATTTCCCCTTATAAAACCTTCAGATCTTGTGACACTTATTCACTACCATGAGAACAGTATGGAGGAAACCTCCCCCATGATTCAATTATCTCCCACTGGGTCCCTCCCACAACACATGAGAATTATACAAGCTACAATTAAAGATGAATTTGGGTGAGAATACAGCCAAACCAGAAAAATTCAAAAGAACAATGAAGGGGAAATTGCACTACTCTATGCTAAAACGTATTATAAAACTATAATACTTCAAATGCTTGTACATGAGTAGGCAGATCATTTTAATGGAACTGCAAGTTCTGAATAGGATCTAAATGTAATTAAGCATATGTTAAGTTTGGTATTTCATTTCAATGGGGAAAATATATAAACTACTCAAAACATTGTTTTGAGGCATTTCAGTTACATTCCTAGATTCCTACTACATACTAACACAAAAAAATAAATTTCAGATCAAAGATTCAAATATCAATTATATAGAGAAGTGCTAAATAACATTACGAGAGAATTTTTTTCTGAAAGTTTAATATAAAATTATGAGAGAACATTTGGAAGTTCCTTCTAGGTAAGACACAAAACTCAGAAGTTCAAGAAGTAGAGACTGATAACTGTGACTAACAAAAGAAAAATTGTCTGCTTGGCAAAAAATACCAAGAACCAAATCAAAAAAGAAACTATAAATTAAGACAAATATTTGATATTAATTTCACTAAGTCCTAATTATTAGCATATATAGAATACATACAAGAAAATAATTTAAAATGCAATGAAAAAATATACAAATAAATTAAACAGACAAGACATAAAAATAACTTAAACAGATGAAAAATTTCTCAGTCACATTAAGAAGGATCAGAATACACAACCCCAAAATATGCTGCTTAGGCATATGATTTTGAGCAGAATACAGTTGAGAAACAGCAGATACAGGAAGAGCTATCTGCCCTTCCGCCATCTGACTAAAACCATGGCATAAATTTCCTCTGAGAAAGATGCTCTTCATGAACCAGGAGGAGGAAAGCACCTTTATCACTGGACACAAGGAATCATCAATACGAGTCTGCACAAATGAAACTTAACAAAGTAATCTTTATTTTCCATTTGATTTCCCTCATATGTTTTCTAGTTATTTTCCCACAAATACCATCCCTAGAAGTTCAAACCTTCTTTCCTTTGTTTAGTTACTTCTCCACAATTTATTGCCCTTGGTTAAAATGGTATATAGGTTCCCAAGTGGAACCAATTCTTTGTTTTTATGTATTTTCTGTAAAGCCCCTGTGCATATAAAAATGTTAACATCCATAAAAAGTATGTCTTTTCTCTGTTAATTTGCCTTTGCCCATTTAATTCATAGACCACAGCCACTGAACCTAAAAGGAAAGAGAAAATTTTTTATTCCCCTACACTAGTCATAACAAAGAAAACAAAAATTAAAATGGCAAAACATCATTTTTGTTTATCACATTGACCAAGATAAGAAAAATCTTGGAAACACATTCAATTAGTAAAAAAGCAGTAAGCAGGTAAGCATATATATAATTGGTGGCCATAAATAACTCCAATAAAAGCAATTTGGGTCTGTTGCAGTGGTTCATGCCTGTAATCCCAGCACTTTCAGAGGCCAAGGCAGGTGGATCACTTGAGGTCAGGAGTTTGAGACAAGCCTGACCAACACGGTGAAACCCTGTCTCTACTAAAAATACAAAAATTAGCCAGGCACGGTGGTGCACACCTATAGTCCCAGCTGCTCAGGAGACTGAGGCAGGAGAATCACCTGAAACCGGGAGGCGAAGAGGTTGCAGCGAGCTAAGATTGCACCACTGCTCTCCAGCCTGGGTGGCAGAGCAAGACTCCATCTCAAAAAAAAAAAAAAAAAGAAGAAGAAGAAGACTATTTGGTCACCTCTCTCAAAATTAAAAATGAACACACCTATTTGCCCTGCAATGCTGCTCCTAGAAATTGCTCCTATAAATAAAAGTATACATAATTGAAATTAAACATTTATAGGAGTATTCACTGAAGTAGTGTTTGCAATAGGAAAAAGTTCACTAGAGGAACAAACTAAATAAATAATAGAAAATCATCCCATATAATAGAATGGAATACAGTCATTTTAAAAGGTTAGTAAGCCCCATCTAGGTACAGTGGGTCATACCTGTAATTCCAGATACTTTGGAGAGACTAAGGCAGAAGGATCACTTCAGGACTGGAGTGTGTGACCAGCCAGGACAACATAGCGAGATTCCATTTCACATCATGTCCCTAAAAGAGTCCACTACAACTAGTGAGATTAGTTGCTGTTATTGAGGAAACTGAGTCTCTGGGGGATATGGGTACATTTCTTATTTATAAAATAAAATTTAAAATATATCATATGTGCTAATATATGTTGTACATCTTTATGTGGTGTTTTGAAATGTACTGGACCATGGAGCCATTTTTTAGTGAAAAGTCATTTCTACTTAATGTCATTATTTTTTCTTTTTTTTTTTTTTTTTTTTGAGACGGAGTTTCTTGTTACCCAGGCTGGAGTGCAATGGTGCAATCTCGGCTCACTGCAACCTCCACCTCCTGGGTTTAGGCAATTCTCCTGCCTCAGCCTCCTGAGTAGCTGGGATTACATTAATGTCATCTTTACTAGGACATGTTATCTTTCTTTTTCTTGGCATCTATCATATGGTATGTGCTGTGGCCATACTTAGAAGAGTAGAACTTGCCACCTATGTTCATGTCTGCTCTGTCCCATAAGATCATACGTTTCTTGAGGACATTTCTAGTGCCTTATTCATCTCTATATCACTAGCATGTATCACAGTGTCAACAAATTAAACATTTGTTGAAGTGACATAATCCTCATCCCTAATATTTTGCATTGGAAAGGAGGAACACCCCTGGGAAGGGGCAGAAGGGTGCTGCAGACAAGGACATATGGCACAGCCCAGTTAGCACAGGCTGCCCATCGATCCAGAAGAGATCTGACTGCCCTGTCCCCTTGGTTACCCTGACTGGTCACTTGACTATTCAGCTGCCCTTATTATTGTAATCCCTCAGAAGGCCATCTGCTCTGCTCGCAAGAGAGAGCTGGCCCCAGGGAGAAGTACGCAGCTGCCCTGCATCTTCAAATCAGGTCAATTACACCACTGCTTCTTAATTGTTCATGACGGCTCAGCTATTGTGTGTGAACCGTCTGTAATTTCCAGTTCATTGTGGCTAAAGATTCTGGGCTAATGAAGGTTCCAACCTGTCCCTCAGGGTCCCTGGCACCACTCAGCTTGTACATGCTGCTCAGTATCCTAGGGTCCTTTCACACCTGAGTTTCAAACTAAAGTGTAGGTTGGAATAAACCCATACCACAGAGGACAGGGCAAAAAGAAATGTCATTTAAAAACACTAATTCATTTCCAGAAAAGGAGCAGGGATGGCAACATGCTGACAATAGTCTTAACTGGTCCTTTGAGGAGTGGCCTGAAGCCCTGAATACAGGTCATCAGGTTTTGTTTTGTTTTGTTTTGTTCAATCTGAGAAATAGCCAGTCCCGTGGATGATTGAGGTGAACAACTTTGTAGGACAAATTTATGGGCTTTTGAAAAATTCCTGAAAAGTGAAATTGTCTTTCTAAGACATCTTATTTGAGAACCTCTGGTGTTCATTTTTCATCTTACCCTGGCATAAATGAATAATCTTACTGAAAACTCACTACATTGTTAACAGTTGGGTTCCTTTTGTCTGAAGGCGAACAAAGAAAGAGTTGATGGAAATGTCCCAGTTGGCACATTTGAAAAAGTCTGGGTTTGTAACAGAAAAACCAACCACTTTCCATCTTTGACTGACAGTAAGAAGTTTAAACTTTGAAGCCCCTAAATGTCTCTCTCTCCATCTGATTTTAGCTATATATATATGTAAGATATATGTATCTATACATATAAAATTCTGACTGTGTATACATGTGAATGGAGTTAGTTGCATATTGGAATGTAGTCTCAAAGTCGAGGATTTCGTTGCCACCATACTAGAAAAAGTAACTAACGCAGAGTGGATGCCTTGTCAGTTCAGTCCACTTTGAGACAGCTGTAATTGGAGTTCAGACTCATACAGATGCTGCTTGCAGCGTAGTATCACACTAAGCCAAAAGCCAGTCTTTTGCTGAGAACTCAAAATACTGTAACTATTTTAAATCCAACATTCTTTGTTGAATTCAAGGAATTTTCCAACTAAAAGGGAAATTCTAAGACCATCAAGCCAAAATCCCTCCCTTTAATACTAAAGAATCCAAATACTCTAGATGAGCATCCAAGTCACATAATTAGTGGTGATCCAAGTTCTAACACCCAGGTCTACATACACACACACACACACACACACACACACACACACACAGAGAGAGAGAGAGAGAGAGAGAGAAAGAGAGAGAGAGAGAGAGAGAGAATTTTCTGGTATTTCCATTACCAAATAAAATTGTGCCAGTGGAATCAAAATAATCAAAATTATCTCATTCTTTTTTCCTGAAAGGCACATGAAAACTATAATAAAATATGACAACTTTCAAATATATTTTGTCAAAGAAATTGTGAAAACCCACTTTCCAAGTCTTAACAAACTCAATGCAGTCTAGTGTTAAAACACACTTTACAAATAATTCAGATGATGAGTATAGAATCATTATCTTAGAAAATATAAACATCCCTTACAGGTAATATCACTTTCGAATTATCTTCTTCAGAAAGGAAGGTGGCATATCTTCACAGATATTCCCAAGAAACAGCCCACAGCCTTTCCTGGTGACCCATCTCTACAACACTGTGGTGAAGAGAACCCCAAGTTAGAAGTCAGAGGACTTTTAGTCAAAGCAATGGCTGTTCCTTACTCAGGCTGTGACCCAAAACAAATAACTTCTCCAGCTCTCAATGTAAATGAGGCAGGTCCTTCCAACATAGCCTGGCTGATAACTATGTCTAGCATGACCTTCATTTCTTGATTAACTTCTTTTTTTAAATGATACTTTTATGACTTTTACATAGAGAGTAGATACACATCAAAAATAAATGAATTGATGCTAAAGAAATCAGTGGGTCATATTTGTTTTTTTAAATCATGGCAGCAGTTATCCTCAAGATAAGTATTCTCTCTTTTAAGTGATTATCTTAAGAGACTACGTAGTCTTAAATCAGTTAATACAGCACATGTAAAACTTCACTCCATTACCTTAGAATCTCCTTTTATTTTCTTCTTACAGTAATAGTTTTACCCAAATCATTCAACTTACTCACCAAATAGTAATATTGGCCAAATAGAACTTAGGATTGTTCCCCCTAGTCAGAATACCATTGAAGGATGAAGACAGTCATCACTTGGGGTACATCAAATCATGTCCTTAGCCTTCACACATAGTTTCAAAATGACAGACAAAAATGCTTTAAGTATCAAGAGAGTAGGGGAGGGAAAAAGCATTTTATCGCTACCTATCTTAGGTTCACTAACTGGAGCTCTACAAATTAGACAGACAGAAGGACTGATTAACAAGAGGAAAAACAAACAGAAGTTTATTAATACATGCATTGTGCATACACCTGGGAGCATTCATAATGAGTAACTCAAAGGGGGTGATTAGAACTTAGGGTTATATAGCATCTTTTAAATTTGATAGGTTATTCTGCGAGGCAAGAGTTGTGCGAGGCGAGTGTCTCCGACGCCTTTTCTGATTTTCATCATACAGGCAGACCAGCCCTTCTGCAAAGATGGTCAACGTACCTAAAACCCGAAGAACCTTCTGTAAGAAGTGTGGCAAGCACCAGCCTCACGAAATGACACAGTATAAGAAGGGCAAGGATTCCTTGTATGCCCAGGGAAAGAGGCGCTACGATCGGAAGCAGAGAGGCCATGGTGGGCAGACAAAGCCAATTTTCCAGAAGAAGGCTAAGACCGCAGAGAAGATTGTGCTCCGGCTGGAATGTGTTGAGCCTAACTGCAGATCCAAGAGGATGCTGGCCATTAACAGAAGCAAGCATTGTGAACTGGGAGGAGATAAGAAGAGAAAGGGCCAAGTGATCCAGTTCTAAACTTTGGGACTTTTTCTTTTAATATTGGAAAGAAAACGTTGAAGCTGCAGAAAAATTATCTGCTGGAAAATAAATACAGTGATATTCTTACGTAAAAAAAAAAATGCATGTGATATTTTCATACATACATACAATGTTTAATGATCAAATCAGGCTATTCAGTATGTATATCACCTCAAACATTCATTATTTATTTCTACTGGAGCACTTCAACTCTTCTCTACTAGCTCTTTGGAAATATACAATAAATTATTGTTAACTATAGTCACCCTACTTCATTACTGAATGTTAGAATTTATTTCTTCTATCTAACTGTATATTCCTACCTGTTAACAAACCTGACTTCATCCTAACCACCCCCACCCTTTCCAGCCTCATTCTATTCTCTACCACCATAAGATCAACTGTTTTAGTGCCCACATATTAATGGAAATGTGATATTTGCCATTCTGGGCCTGGCTTATTTCATTTAACATGATCACCTCCAGCTCCATTCAGTCTGCTGGAAATTACAGGATTTCACTCAATAACTGAATAGCATTCCATTATGTATATATACTACATTTTCCTTATCCATTCATCAATTGACAGACACATAGGCTGTTGCTATATCTTGGCTATTGTGACTACAACTGCAATAAACACGAGAGTGAAAGTACCACTTTAATATACTGAGATCCTTTCGTTTGAATAAATAGCCAGTAATAGAATTGGTGGATTGCATGGTCATTCTGTTTTTAGTTTTGTTTTTTTTTTTTTAAAAAAGCCTCCATACTGTTTTCCATAATGGCTATATTAATTTACATTCCTACCACAGTGTATAAGAGTCCCTTTTCTCTGCATACTTGCGAGCATATGTTATTTGACAAACCTGACAAAAACAAGCAATGGGGAAAGGATTCCGTTTTTGTCTTTTTGATAATAGCCATTCTAACCAGTGTGAGATAATATCATATTGTGGATTTGCATTTCCCTGATGATTAGTGATGTTGAGTGTTTTACACATATCTGTTGGCCATTTTTATATCTTCTTTTCAGTAATGTCTATGTAGATATCTTGCCTACTTTCCAATGAGATTATTTGGTTTTTGTTACAGAGTTGTTGAGAGTTCCTTGGATATTCTGGATATTACCACTTTTTGGATGAATAGTTTGCAAATATTTGTTCCTATTTTACAGGTTGTCTCTTCACTCTGTTGATTGCTTCCTTTGCTGTTCAGAAGTTTTTGGCATAATATAATTCAATTTGTCTAATTCTTCAAGGAGAACTACAAACCACTGCTCAAGGATATAAGAGAAGACACAAACAAATTGAAAAACATTTCATGCTCATGAATAGGAAGAATTAATATTGTGAAAATGGTCATATTGCCCAAAGTAATTTGTAGATTCTATGCTAATCCCATCAAGCTACCATTGACCTTCTTCACAGAATTAGAAAAAACAACTTTAAATTTCATATGGAACCAAAAATGAGCCTGTGGAGCAAAGACAATCCTATGCAAAAAGAACAAAGCTGGAGGCATCACACTACCTGACTTCAAACTGTACTACAAGGCTACAGTAAACAAAACAGCATGATACTGGTAGGATGTTGAATTTTATCAAATGCTTTTTCTTTGTCTATTGAGATGTTCAAACGATTTTTGTCTTTCACTCTGTTGAGATGATATATCATATTTATTGATTTGTGTGTGTTCAGCCATCATCCTTGCATCCCTGGGATAATCCCACTTAATCATGTTAAGGTGTTATTGGCTTTAGTTTGTTAGTATTTTGTAGATTTTTGCATCTATGTTTATCAGGGATACTGGCCAACAGTTTTTCTTGTTATTTGTTATGTCCTTATGTGGTTTTGATATTAGGGTAATTCGGGCCTCAGAATATGTCAGGAAGAGTTCACTCTCCTTTGGCGTTTTGAGATAGTATGAAAATAATCAGTGTTAATTCTTTTTACAAGTTTGGTAGAGTTAGCCGACTCTGAGCACACTGCCTGGGGATTAATACTGCTCTGCAGGGGGGAGTTTAAAAAAAAAGTTTGATAGAATTCAGCAGTAAAGACACCAAGTCCTGGGCTTTTCTTTGTTGGGAAACATTTTATTAATATTACTAATGTCAGTATTACTATTCATTATTAATCTGTTGAGGTTTTCTATTTCTTTTTTATTCAATCTTGGTAGGTTGTACCTCTCCAGAAATTTACCCATCTCCTCTAGGTTTTCTGGTTTGTTAGTGTATAACAAAAAATATTGAAAGTTTAGAACACTGAATTGCTTAGCTGTGGCAGATATGTTCAGCAAAGATCAGAACTACTGCTGGTTCTGAGGGTTCAAAGGAGTCTGAGAAGCAAAAATCTTACCAGATCTCTACCTAGAAGTCCCCATCACATGTTAGCTACACATTTTCCCCACCATAACTTCATTCCTTGACCTCAACATAGCAGACCTACCTCTCCTTGGTTCAGAAGTTATGCCGAGTGAGCTTAGTAGCAACGACATTGAAATTCACTGCTTAAAATATGCATCTAAACTCAAAAATTTCAAAAAAGTTCCATAAATGGACATGAGCAATATTGCAAGCAAATTTATAGTGTATTTATTACAGTATTATCTAAAATAAAAAAATTGAAAACTACCATAATGTCCAAAAGTAGGAAGCTAATTAAGTCAACTATAATATCCACTCAAAAGGATACAGAGCTATCATGAAAAATTATGTTTTGTAAGTAAGTATAAATACTGATATAGAACATTGTTGATTATCTATTGTTTAATAGAAATTTCAGCTTACAAATTGGATTATCCTACCTTTATTTTATGTATATAGATAGATAGATAGATAGATATAGATATATATAGATAAATAGATATCTCTGAAGATACTTATAAAAGCCATGAAAATTTACATTAAAAATCTTGTTAGGTCTAAATAGTGCAATAATACATAAAATTTTTCTTCTACTATAAATCGTACTATAAGTGAAATAATAAAAATGCCTTTGGCATGGGAGTAGAGCACAATGACTGAAGAGAACCCTAACCCGTTCATGCCCATGCCTCCAACTGGAACACCAAATTTTACCAACTATCTGCATACAGAAAGTACCATCACAAAAATGACAAAAATCCAGATAAGCAATTGCAGTACCTGGTTTTAACTTCATATCACTAAAAAAGACATTGAGGAGGGCAGGAGAGACTGTCATGAATGATTAACACCATGACTCCCCCATCCCCTGGCAGTGGCTATGTGGTGTAGAGAAAAAATTTGTGAACTTTGGGGAGGGAAAGCACAGTGACAGGGAGATTACTTTGAATTCAGTGCTGCCCTGTCACAGTGCAGAAAAAAGCCCAATGGGGTCAACCAGCACTTGTGCACAGAGAGAGTCTCTTAATAGCAAATTTGATCAAGCAGAAGAAAGAATTAGTGAGCTTGAAACCGGCTATTTGAAAATATACAATTAGAGGATACAACAGAATAAAGAATAGAAAACAATGAAGCATGCCTACAACATATAGAAAATAGCCTCTAAAGGGCAACTCTACGAGTTATTGGCCTTAAAGAAGAGGCAGAGCAACAGATAGAAAAAGAAAGTTTTTTTTTTTTTAGTTGTGTGATTTTTAATTTTTTTAATTTTTAAATTATGCATTAAATTCTGGGGTACATGTGCAGAAAGTGCAGGTTTGTTACACAGGTATACATGTGCCACAGTGGTTTGCTGTATCCATCACCCTGTCATCTATATTAGGTATTTTCCTAATGCTATTCCTCCCCTATCCCCGCCACACCCTGACAGGCCCTGGTGTGTGATGTTGCCTTCTCTGTGTTCATGTGTTCTCATTGTTCAACACCCACTTATGAGTGAGAACAAGCGGTACTTGGTCTTCTGTTCTTGGGTCAGTTTGCTGAAAATGATGGTTTCCAGGTTCATCCATGTCCTTGCAAAGGACACGAACTCATCCTTTTTTATGGCTGCAGTCTTCGATGGTGTATATGTGCCACGTTTTCTTTATCCAGTCTATCGCTGATGGGTATTTGGGTTGTTTCCAAGTCTTTGCTATTGTGAACAGTGCTACAATAAACTTCTGTGTGCATGTATATTTATAATAGAATGTTTTATAATCCTTTGGGTATATATACCCAGTAATGGGATTGCTAGGTCAAATGCTATTTTTATTTCTAGGTGAGGAACTGCCACACTGTCTTCTGCAATGGTTGAACTAATTTACACTCCCACCAACAGTGTAAAAGCGTTCCTATTTCTCCACATCCTCTCCAGCATCTGTTGTCTCCTGATTTTTTAATGATCATCATTCTAACAGGCATAAGATGGTATCTCAATGTGGTTTCGATTTGCATTTCTCTAATGACCAGTGATGATGAGCCTTTTTTATATGTCTGTTGGCTGCATAAATGTCTTCTTTTGAGACGTGTCTGTTCATATCCTTCTTTTGATGGTTTGGTTTTTGTTTGTTTGTTTGTTTTGTTTTTTGGGGTTTTGTTTTGTTTTGTTTTGTTTTTGTAAATCTGTTTTAGTTCTTTGTAGATTCTGGATATTAGCCCTTTGTCAGATGGGTAGATTGCAAAAATTTTTTCCCACTTTGTTGGTTGCCGGTTCACACTAATGATAATTTCTTTTGCCATGCAGAAGCTCTTAAGTTTATTAGATTTTATTTGTCTATTTTGGCTTTTATTGCCATTGCTTTTGGTGTTTTAGTCATGAAGTCCTTGCCTATGCCTATGTGCTGAATGGTATTGCCTAGGTTTTCTTGTAGGGTTTTTATGGTTTTAGATCTTATGTTTAAATCTTTAATCCAACTTGAGTTAATTTCTGTATAATGTGTAGGGAAGGGGTCCAGTTCCAGCTTTCTACACATGCCTGGACAGTTTTCCCAACACCATTTATTAAACAGGTAATCCTTTCTCCATTGCTTGTATTTGTCAGGTTTGTGAAAGATCAGATGGTTGTAGATGTGTGGTATTATTTCTGAGGCTTCTGT